GCGGAGAATACTTCCAAAAGCAATAAATACATTTTTAAATAGTAATGTTGTGTCACTTCCTTGATTCCCGAAATTTTCAGTGCCGCCCTCGTGAAGGACCAAAATGCCGATTAAATGATGTATAGCATGTTAGTGTAGAAATTAGTCTTGTATAGAAAATATTGTAATTTATGCGAATTACATAGTGAAAATGTTATAAAATAAAGAGGCAAAACGGAAAATGGCAAGCGGCTCACTATACAGTATAGCCGAAGTCTACCTTATGGGGGCGAAACCCAGTAACGTTAAACATAAAAAAAAAACATAAACACTCACGCCTGTCACCCAGAGGGGTAGGCAGAGATTATGGACTTCCATTTGGCACGATCCTGACACACCTCTCTCGCTTCCTCCACATCCATATACCTACGCATACACGCTCGTCGGTTAAAGGTACTGTTGATTTGGCCCATTTTTAATATATCGCCAATTTGGTCGATAAACTTTCGCCTAGGGCGACCCTTCACGACTATGCCGTTCACCTCTGCAACATAAATTTGCTTTGTCACTCTTTCCTCATTCATTCTTTCTACATGGCCAAACCACCGAAAGCATTCCTTTCTTAATCCTGGTCACAACATCATCTTGCAAACCACACTCTTCTCTTATTAAACAATTTCTCACTCTGTCATTCAGCTTCATCCCTAACATACTCCTTAATGACCGCATTTCTACAGCATTTATTCTACTCTCATGCTTCTTCTGCCACACCCAACTTTCACTACCATACATTAAAGTAGGTACTAACACAGCATTGTGAATTGCCATACGTGCCTTTTTGGACACATTCTGACTTTTCACAATAGAGTGTAGAGCCCCATTCACTCTATTTCCTGCATTCACTCGTCGTTCTATATCCTTATCATATCTACCATCCCTGCTAAACACACATCCCAAATATACAAACTCATCTACTTGCTCTACCAACTCCCCTTCTATTCTTATTTCACATATCGTTTTATTTTCTTCTCTTTCAACAACCATAACTTTCGTCTTACTTGCGTTCACTTTCATTCCCTTTTCTTTTAATGTCCTGTTCATTAATGTAACCATCATTTGCAACTCGGCTGCCGACGACGCAAGCATGACTTGATCATCGGCGTACAAAAGGCATTTGACGGTTAACTCACCCATTCTTAACCCGCATTCTTCTACTTTCAAATTTTCCAAACAACTGTCCATAAATAGGTTGAACAACCACGGGGAAGCCACACAGCCCTGTCTGACACCTTTATGGATGTCAAACCAGTCCGAGTAGGCCCCGTTGATCCTGACACAAGCACTAGAGTCCCTATATAGACTTTAATGCCTGTATCAGACCAGCGCTCAACCCAAATGAGTTCAGTGTTTGCCATAACATATCCCTGTCCACTCTGTCATAAGCCTTCTCCAAGTCCATGAACGCTCAAAAAACTTTTTGGTTTTTGGCCAAAAACTTCTCGACGATCATGCGCATGGAAAAGACCTGATCCGTACATCCCATTCCCTTTCTAAATCCCGCTTGCACATCCCAAATTTTTCCGTCAGTTTCTTTCAATTAGTACCTTAGGATACAGTTTTCCCACAATGCTAAGAAGGCTGATACCACGGTAGTTTTTACAGTCCTGCTGTGATCCTTTTCCCTTATATATTGGGACTATCACGGCTTTGCACCAGTCTCCCGGTACCCGCTTAAGTTCCCAACATAAATTAAACAAGGTGTACAGCAGGTCTGCCACCAATCCTTCTCCAGCCCTTAGCATTTCGAGAGATACTCTATCATAACCGGCTGCCTTATCTGCTTTCATACTTTTCATTGCTTTCATTATTTCATCTATACTTATATCTCTATCTATTTCCTCTTCTTTCGGAATTTCTATTTCATTTAATTCAAACGACTCATCACTCATAAACACGCTTTCAAAGTATTCCTTCCATCTCCTTAAACTCAAAACTTCGTCATTAAGAATACAACCATTCTGGTCTCGTATAGCATTCATTCTAGGCTGTTGTGAATGTCCCCTGGTAGTTCTTACGAGTTTCCAGAACATTTTAATGTTTGCCTGGAAGTTATCCGATATTCTTCTATCATTCTTATCCGTTCTTTCTTGCTTTTTCCTTTCAACTACTTCTTTTACTCTCTTATTTAGGTGTCTAAAAACTGTCTTTTTCCTTTCAATATCATCATTCATACTGCTAGAATTACTAGCCTTGGTTGCTAGTAAATCTAGCAATTCTTCTTTGCTTCAACTTCCATCCGTACCTCATCATCCCACCATAACGTGTTATTTTTCCTTTCATTCGTTCTCTTACTTACACCACATACTTCGGTAGCTGCATCCACTAAACCTTTCTTGACATTATACCACACAGTCTCCAAGTCTAAATCATTCATACACAATTCAGCCATACCACTTATATTTTCTCTCAATCTACATTTGAACTTCTCTTTCACACCTTCATCTTGTAACCTCTCTGTTCTTATACGCTGTAACGCTGTGGTAGACACAGATGTCCGATGCCTCCAACGTCTGAAAAGACCATTAATTCGGCATAAGACCAAGTAATGATCCGTCCCTACGTTAGAGCCCCGGTAAACCCTTGTATCTACCACCGCGCTCCTCATTCTTTCATCAACAATTATGAAATCTATCATACTTCTATCGTCACCTCTTTCCCATGTATACGTGTGAATCTTCTTATGACGAAAGAAAGTGTTCGTCACAACAAGATTCTTTTCCACGCATACCACCAGTAACGTTGTAGTGTGAAAAACTACCAGTGGCATCCAGCAGTAGTAGGAAGAACTACCAGTGACAAGCAGTAGTATCCGGTAGTAGCTGAAGTGACAAGTAGCAGAACATAGTGAACAGTGATAGTGAATTAGAAAAAGTGTTAGCTAGCCGAAAAAGGTCATAACTGAAAATCGCAGTTACACATAGCCGATAAAAGTGGCAACTGAAAATTCGCAGTTGCATATAGTAAAAAGTGTTAGCTAGCCGAAAAAAGTGGTAACTGAAAATTCGCAGTTGCATATAGTAAAAAAGTGCTAGCTAGCCGAAAAAAGTGTCCACAGTTTTCCAGCAGCACACACAGAGACGGCAGTGAAAGTATCCTCCGGAACCTATAGGTGTAGGACGTGAGCGACTCGCGGAGTATCTTTGACAACATTTACTCCGGAGAGTTACGCCCGTCCGGCACAGATATTTTTTATATAATTTTAAGGAGAACATTTCCGTTATACATGATTTCTGTGCTTTTACCATTTGAGCTTTAACCATTAAGGCTTCACACGCGACGGAAGCTTGAAAAAATGGAGTAATTTCTCACGTTTCCCCAACATTTACCTTCACTGCTCTGCTCCTATTGATTGTAGCGTGATGAAAAGTATAATATAACCTGCCCAGGAGTATGAAGAATGATTGTACCAAGTTAGACGTTAAAATCCGTCGAGTAGTTTTTGTTTCTATAACGAACATACAGACAGACAGACAAAAATTTTACTGTTTGCATTTTTGGCATCAGTATCGATCACTAATCACCCCCTGATAGTTATTTTGGAAATATATTTCATGTACAGAATTGACCTCTGTATAGATTTATTATAAGTATAGATATATAATGGTGAAGAAAAATTAATTTAAAAAATTTCAAATGTTCTGTTAAAAAATGCGTGATAATGCATTGTTTTAACTGCACACGCACACATTCGTAAGGGTCGATCAGTAGGCCTGCGCTAGCACTAATTAGTTGTGAGTAGGCCATAGATAAGAATGTATATACGCTAACAGTAGCAGTGTGACCATATGTGGCAGGTTCCTGACATTTTGGCAGGATTGGCCTCTTATTATATAGCCTCTGGCATGATCGGTTGACGTTTTATAAAACCTGGTAGTATTTGGGACAGTATCAAATAAAAGTATTTCAGAAACTACAATAACGGTGTATCATTATCTATATATTTGAACTTAAGTTTAAAATTTGGCTACTCTGAAAAATAACCCTGTATATATACTCGTATACCATCATTACAGACATTCACAAGTCTACTGCTTAACATAGGCCACCCCCAAGGATAACATAGGCCACCACAAAGCACGGTCCAGAGCCACTTGCATCCATCGACTTCCTGCATGTCTTATCAGGTCTTCACTAAATTTAGTGGCGAGCCGCCCTACACTTTGCTTACCAGTTATTGGTAAAAAAAAATGGTCGCCTTTGATATAACCTCAATTCTCCCCCAATTCTTTATTTCTGTGTCAACCTAAATGGAGTATGGTACTATACTCCCACTGACTTCTATATATACCGCTGTATACTCATATATATAGAGGTCAGTGTATGTATACTCCCTATGTCTGTCAAGACAACCTTTTTTGTTGTTTTTTTGAGATGATATTAGATTTGAGAGTAAGTTTTGTAAAAAAAATAAAAAAATAGGCCTTTGAAATGTAGTGTTGGAGGAAAGTTAAGGTAATAACTAGGTTAGAAAACAAGACTAAATAATGAGGTACTTGAACAAATTAGAGAAATAGTCCAACTATTTCACTGATTGAAAACAGAATAGGGCTTCAAGGTTAGGCACTTTCTACGACACGACAATTTTATTATGGGCAAGGAAAGAAATGGAAAAAGGAAATGTAGACCAAGAGAGAAGAGTGTGCTCGTTTGTCACCCTTATTCTATAAAAAAAAACAAATTATGACAATCGTTGTTTTGGATTTTGAAATGTTAAATTAAATAAGGAATTTATTACTATACTTACAAACTAGTATTGTTATCATTTTCCCAATAAAAATATAGTAAATACTTATAAAAAAACTAACTAGGTATATTATGCAAAATTCTAGTTGTAAATAGGTTTAGGTGCGCTTTGTGATTATATTTGCATGTTACTGAATTCTGAACAACTAACCATGTTAGTGAATTTTGTTAAATTGCCATTTATTTGGAGAATGGTGACAAAATAGAGTATTATAATTGAATTAAATTGTTTTATTTAACATAGTATGTACATTGTTCTATATTCACTAAATAATAGTTTATAAACTTATCTATTATTTGATTTTATTCAACTATTTATTTTCTTACTAAACTTTTATGATTTACCACTCTCCAGAACATCCTTTGCCTCATTGATTTTAGCAGCAATTAACGGAGATCCCCCACGGTCAGGATGATTTAGTAACATTACTCGCCTATGCGCGTCCCTTATCTGCTGAAAATGAAATTAAATATACATATACAACAGCTACAAATAAAATTACCTAAGTTATTTACATTATTTTATACTAGGAAGCAACCAAGTTATTTGTACACGCCAAATTACAAATAGCAAAGAAAAATAAGAAATAATTATATTTCATGTATTTTCAAATTTTTTTTATCTTTATATATAAAAATTACGTGTCACGTTGTTTGTCCGCGATGGACTCCAAAAAAATTCAAAAATAGTTTTTTATTATATGTAAATACCGTATATACTTTCATATGCATTTAGTAAAAAGCTGTTTTGAAATTGCAAACAGACTCATCATATTTTTTATTTGTATAGATAAGGAGTAAAATACTTCTTAAAATTTATTTTAGAAACTACCTGAACCGATTTCAATGAAATTTTACACACTGTGTGCAGTTTGGTGCAACTTGAAAGATATTTCTTATCTCGCTAAATGACCCTAAAAGTTTTTATTGCGAATTTAAGGATTTTTATAGGAAGGGTCGTTGGAAAGGGCAGAACAATGTCTGCCTGGCGAGCTAGTATATTATAAATATTTATTTACATAACAGAAACAGAAATTCAATATAGATTATAAATAGTACTTATTGAAAGTCACTCTTTGGTTTAATTACCACTGGTTCGAAAAAAATTACGTTATCGTTAATATAATATACATTAAAAAAAAACTAAAACATAATTATCATACAGTCTTACTCCCCATGGCATCGTGCCAAGAATGCTGGCTACATTTCCTCACTGAATAGCTCTACTTCGCCTTTGAGCGAGAAAAGAACCGGCCCTATTATCCCCAGTAGCAACAACCAGTCACGGTTCGAGTTCCTTTAGGAACTTCACCGCAAGTGGACCCCACGGACCGATAGTCTCTACAGAAATTGGCACAAATATGTAGTCATCTCTTCGAGACTTAACATTTGCGTCACTTACTCAGTTCTGCAGCCTCTGATGCTGCCCCGGTTCTTAAAGAAGTACCCCTGAGATGAGAAGCCGCCAAAGTGTCTACGCAAGTAGCATCCCACACTAGGGCTTTACCTCTCTCATAAGGGACGAATGTCATACCGTCGAATCTCCTGCTATCGTCTCTAAATATTCCACAGCTCTACAACCGAGGGAACATTTATAGAGACAAGAGCCTTTCGGATGACATCGTTCAAAGAACCGTGTCGTGAAATCCTACCAGCACTTTTCTTACATGAAAGTCCGTGGAGCCCAAACTCGTCGAAGCTGCTACCACAGGGCCACTGATGGGGTTGACAAAACGCATCTCCTAGTCAGATTCCTACGGCGATGCGCAACCTTTACCCATCAAGTAATGTGTCGAGATTACTTGATAGTATATCGTGTAACCAGTAACTTTTCAGAATTAAAAAATATCATGTCACAATCAAATATTGAAAAGATTTAATAAAGTTTTATCACAATGTATTCAGTTATTCTGAAGATTAGCCTGGTTAGACAGACAGGCGATAATTTTTTTTAAAAAGCATGCAAATAACACTCCATGCTTGGCGTTGAAAATTTCGTTATTTCTGATAGTGAACGAGGATTATATAATTTGCTGTAACTTTACTATGCTATGCTAGAGTACGTGCGCATTTGGAGTGCCAACTTCAGGAATACACTGTTGTGTGACTTAATTCGCTTATTCCGTTTAGCCACCCTAAGGTGTTTAATCGAAAACGTGTTTGTGTATGCATCCCGAAAGGGGTCATACTTATGTAATTTAATCTTTAGGCCACGTTTCCACCAGAGCTGTGAGGTAGCTGAGTGGAACATGAGGAAAAATCTATTAATATTTCCAAGCCTTTCTCAGCACAGCTATGATAGAAAAGCGTTTAGCTAAGCGACGTCTTTGTTCATACAAAACAAAGCACAAGATGTGTGCGAACGGGCAATGCATGTAAGGAATGTTTGCAGGGAGGTATGGCTTAGTGAGCTACTATTTGTGAACAACTTGAAGTAGTGGTGTGAGGACACGGCTTTAGAGAAAAGAATCTGCTACACGTCCACACAGCGTTCAGCTTTCTCGTATATGTCCAATGTAAGCCGCAACCTTACTCTTTTTTACTTTACAAAATATTATATTTAGCATTTAGTCTCCTCATAAATTTCAGAGAATTATGTATAAATTATCATTTGTAATGCCATTTCTTATATGTTTTTAGAGAATTTAACCACATAAGGAATTATGGGGCAGACTAATAAAAATTTTATGTAGTTTTTCTAAAAATAAATCTCTAAGTTAGGTGGTGTAATTGATGCAGATGAGTTACAGTGTGGTGGCAGTTTGAAGCCGAGCGGAGTTTGAAGCCAACCACTTTGAGTTTCTAAGAAATTGCAAAATTCTCATAAAATGGGGTTTTATTAAATGATATTACATCTAAAAAAAAAGAAATTGGCAGTATTATAAATGTAAGGATTTAAAACCCTATTTCAAAGTTGTATTCCCTATGGCCATCACATGATTATCCCGACAGAATTAACGAATTAAATGTTTAGTACATAGTTATGTTTATTGGCTGGGGATTGACTGTGACATTGGACCAGCCACAGGGCATGCGAAACGTCTGCGGCGGGAGTCCTGGTACAAGCTGCATGTTGATTGTTTTACATTGTACTATTATCATTTATTTGATGCCCATTCATAATTCCATTTTGGCATTCCAAGTCCTAAAATAGAGACAATATCTGTAAATTGGGCTATGCGTTTGTGTAATTACGGCTTCCACAAGTCAGTTTCAGACAATGGACCACTATTAAACAGAAAAGAGTTTAAATAATTTCTAATTAGTCAAAGAATTCATCACATTACAACTAGCCTTTGTCAACTATATAGTAAATGGTGCAGCTAAAAATGCAGTGAAAATAGTAAAGTTACATATAAAAATGGCTTAGTGTGACAAAACTGAATTGACACTAAGAGTAAATCATCGGCAAATTCATAAACATGCGTGTTTATAAAAATGAACAAAGAAAAGAGATTCAGTACAAAAATACTAGTGTTGAAAGAGTATTTGACACAGGGCAACAAGTAATATTTAATACATGGGGAAAGGGCATTATTAGTAAAGTAAAAAGAGACCACATATTACTTTAAGTGTAATCTATAGATACAAATAAAATTAAATTGTCTGTCTATAATCCCACCAAATATAAACCCACCACACAACATAAACTAAACCACCCTATACTATACTTTCCTTCATAAAGTTACTTCGCAGTGTATCCCTAAATGCTACATCTCAGACTTGGATTTGTTTATTTGTTCCTCCGACAGGAACAAACATTTGCCAATCTAACTAAAAATGTGGCAACAATTGAACTAAACGTCCAAAATTAAAAAAAAAAAAAACAAAATAAATACATATTATGTATTTATGTCATAATGCCACATTCCACTTTTAACTCTGAGCTCTATGTCTGTTGCAGTTGCAAGGTATTTTGAGGTTGTTTTATAAAAAAACTTGTTTTATTTGAAAATGTGAAGTCTGCCCACATCATACTAGGACAGTCCGGCAGACATTTCATTGCCCTACTCCTCTCTGTGCTGAGCTGCGGAATGTATAGAGGCTGTAATTTTACTGTGAATAGTTTATTAAACTATGAAGCACAGCATTACAACTTTGCTTTGGGGTACAAAACTACCATTTGACAGATTAATATCCTTTTAAATTTTATACATCACAAAATATAGTAAATAATATACCAATATGTACAAACTTCTATCAAAATTAAACCCTCTATTACACGCCCTTATTTACAGGCGCAACCAATTAGTGATATAAATTATTTGCCAATGGGAAATATTCAACCACTGAGACGGCAAAAGAAAAAATTCATCAGAAATTATATTGGCATTTGAAATATTGTTAAGGATCTAAATCTTTACCTGTTATATACAATAAGTTTTGTCACATATTTTAGATTTATAATAATACTAGCTGACAACGTAGACGTTATTCTGCCCTCTCCGACAACCCTCTGTCCTATAAAAATTCTTAAATTCATAATAAAAAATATTGAGGGTCACTTATAGGGATAAAAACAATCCTATCTCTCAAGTTGCACCGAACTGCACACAGTGCACAACATTTCGTTGATATCAGTTCAGTAGTTTAGGAGTTCATCGCAGGCAAACAACGTATCACGTAATTTTTATATATAAAGATTAAAAAAATGTTTATATACCTTCGCTTTACAAGCTGTAGGACTAATGCCCAATATAATAATAATATTAAAAAAAAGTTTATATACCTTTGCTTTACTAGCTGTAGGACTAATGCCCAATATAAGTGCTGCTTCTCGTTTTGTCATTTTAGGTTCAAATCCACCCTTATAATATTTTGAATTAGCTAAACTTTCGGCATCGAATTTTGGCAAATTTTTTACAGCTTCCGCAAATTTCATAGAGGCGTTTGGTATTTGTTTTAGAATGTAGCGACCAGCAAAACCAATCGCTGCCATGCCTAACCCTGCTACAATAATCGAGCTAGCCTGTAAAAGAAGTATAAAAAAGAAACCTCAAAACCACAATAATATGTATATTTACAGATAAATAATTTGAATCAAATGCAAAAATAAATACCATTTTTATTCATAAAAAGTATTTTGTTAGGTTTGTCCAATATTTACTCCAATTTAATTTCTGAATATTCTAAAGCAAAAGCACCAAAATGTAAACGAAATAAACCTATATCATAGATAAATATATATGTAGCAAGCTAACCTATATTTTATACTGTGCCTATATTGCCATCTACATCTATACTCAACCAAACCAATTTTCACAAACTATCACCACAGATCCACAGAACACTATTACTCACAGCTATTACTCCTACGGAGACTATCACAGAGTAGTACAAAGTACATTATGCAAACTATATAGAAACACCGCCAATTTTGTTGTTGTTTTTATTATTCGCTCGAGAGAGCAGGCAAAGGAACTATGCCATACAGCCTTGTCTTTATGTATAATTATCCTTCATAGTTCACTGCTTCACAATATGTTGATGCGTCACATTGAGCAGCCCTTGGCAGATTTTGACGGCGACTTGAGCCAGCAGGCAGCTGACAGTTGGCGATAGTATCTAAAGGCGCCTATGCAAACAAACAGCTTATTTTGAGAATCCATCACCATCAGAGCACTTGTTTCACCGTTTCCACTAATAGTTCACATGTGTAGACAGTTAATACATAAAATCGCACCACTTTTACATATCAAAATCCACTTCAAACTATTATTTAAACTATAATACAGGAGCAGCAAACCGCAGCCGATCAAGTTTCCGCCAAAACTCCCCAAACCAATTTTGTTGTTGTTATTTTTATTATTCACTCGAGACAGCAGGCAAAGGAACAAAGCCACAAACCAATTTTGAATTTGACAGCTAGACTAGGTAGCTTGCTACATATTTATTTATCTATGGGACTAGGTATATCCAAAAAATCGGTACGTACAATATTCGATTCTTTAGAAAAATCGATATCAATTCTTTAGAGTTGGTAATCATTTACGGTTTTGTTTTGATTAATACCAGAATAAATTTGAAACGCATAATTTAAAACACAAGAATTATTGCATAGTTTCTTGTTTGTCTGCGATAAACTCAGTTTTTTTTGCGAATTTAAGGTTTTCTTTTATTCGACAAGGGGTCGTCGGAAAGACCAGAACAACGTCTGCCTGGTCAGCTAGTGTATATATATATATATATATATATATATATATATATATATATATATATATATATTAATACACATATATATATATATATATATATAATTAATTGACTATAGCTTTCGATACAAAATACGTATCACCGGTATCAAACAGTCAACTTGTACCTGTAACGGAATACCGTGTTTCGGTAATTAATAAAAGTAAATTGATTATTCAAGACTTTTAAGTGGACTAAGTAATAAGTATGACAGTTAAAAGTTTTATTATATCAGTCGGGTCTAGACCGTGAACGCAAGCGCACGCTGTCATTGATCTATGCCGCTACAATGGATAGCATATCGAAGCGATTTATTAACAGATAGTTTTGCTAATCATATAATTAAAGAAAATAAGAAAAAAAAATGTAACAATAATAAGAATTCTTTTAGTATTATTACGAGGGCGACACTGAAAGTTTTTAGAACGTGCTACTTGTAAACGATATAATAAAAAAATATGTTCAAATTTTGAAAATGGAACTCTTTGCCAATATTATTGTGTATGTATTTTATTAATTTGTCATTTGTTTACGATTTGGCGGGAAATTGAAAAGTGTCTGTGTCACGTCAGCATGAATTTAACGCAACAAAATTTTCGTACAATGATTATTTATGACATTCGATGTTATTTAAAAGATTCTAATTGATTAATTGAAGATTATGTCGTAATTGGCCACGTGACCATACAATTTATGTATATGTGTGATCGAAATTATTTTAGAACTTGCTGTTCCCCGAAACTTCACTCGCGTGTTAGGGTTTTTTTTTCTGTGATGTTTGATCGATTTTTGACATGTTTTTTTGATTTATGTCTTTTTGTATAAATATATTCTGTTTGTTCCGGCTAATCTTCGAAACGGCTGGACTGATTTCGATGGGACTTTCACTGGCAGATAGCTGATATTATAGGGAGCAACTTACAAAAATAATTAGGGTTCCGCGCAACATAATTAAAACCCTAAATTACGCGCGGGCGAAATCAGGGGGAACATCTAGTATATGACTAAAAATAAATATACACTTGCTTTGTATAGGTGCCATATTTCATCGAAATACGCGTTGAACAATTTGAACACACGTGAACATTACGTATGACCGCGTACCTTACCTATGACCGTTGATGTTAGAGAGAGTAAATAAGACGCGAGAAGGAGGAATTTATTTTTATTGTATCGATATATTGGTATCAGTATCAATACCGATATTCTGATTCCAAGTATCGCTATTATTGTACTGAAATGAAATACCGAAACCAATAGCGATAAATCGATACCTAAATATCAGTATTGATATCGATAACCCGATATCGATACTTGCAAAATATCGTTATTACAGTACCCTGGATAGGTTCAGCTTATTCCCAGGAACATGTTTTACGAATATTTTTTAATTATTTTAGAACTATCATGGTGCAAATTCAGTTAAGTTTTGGAGTTATTCAATTTCGTGCACTAAGCTATTTTTTAAACCTTTTTACCGCTATTTTAAAAATAATTTTTCGATAGTCCTAGTAAGTAAAATGTACATCACTAGCTGACGCACACAATGACAAATCAAAATTAGTCGCGCGTTTTTGACCCCCCGTTTACACTTTCGTGCAAGCGGCGAGGCGAGTCGCGAGACGAGTCACGAGGTGTAAACGCTAGCTCGTGGCTCGCCTCGCAGCCCGCCCCGCCACTCGCGGTGCTCGCGTCCGAGGCGGTTTTTTGGGCACGAGGCAAAGGGCCTCGCGAGGGCCGCGACCGTTGTGTTTACACTCCCGCTCTCGTTTCAGTTTGTTTACGGCACCCTTCCATAATTACATTCGAATTGCTTTTGTTTTAAAATTACAATTTTAATAAAATAATATTATTTAATCTTGCACAATAGGTACTAGCAATTTATATAAAATTATGAAACTGAAAATGTTCTGTTTCGATGAATAGATATCATCCACTATATTCTTCCTCAACGACGTATTTTTTTTTTAATTTCCTTCTTTTTAAAATGTTCAAGCATCGATAAATACTTATTAAGACAAGAGTTGATGCCGCTATTATTTCGACGTCTGTCATCGTTGCTGACTCAACGCAAACTGAACACATCGCGAGAGTGTAAACAGGCACTCGTTACCTCGCCATAACACGCGAGCTGCGAGACGAGATACGAGGCGAGCCGCGAGGCGAGAGTCTAAGCCCGGTATGAGCTAGAGGTGGGCGATGCAAACCGTATACAGATACGAAATCTATATATTGGTACAATATCTAAAAACCGCTTACTGGTTCGTTTCAAAACTATGTATTACAAAATCTGATATTTGCGTACCGCCGCGATGCCTATATCGCTCCGCATCGGTCGGTGGCTAGATTCGCCGTGTGCGACAGAGTACGAGCGATATGGGTATTAGACTAGACTTGGCGGAAAATTAAAGTCTTACTAAAATCTTATATTTGTACACTACACTAAATAATAAAAAAAACAATTTCACTAAATCGTAATTAACTTCCATAGTAATTATTTTTTCAAGTTTTTATATAAATCCCTTGTAATATTTTGATGAAAATGTAAACTAAACAAAATAATATTAAGCTGGCGCCCCTTTGTTTAAATTACTACCTTTAACAACAATGTTGTTTTACTTGTAACAACAAAGTACATAAAATAAACATCAACCACTAATGAATTCAGTCAATAGCGTTACATCTCTGTTAAAAATATCATTCGTACGTTTTAATAAAAACAACACTTCAAAAGATTTAACCGCAAACGATTTATTTAATATGATAATTGTCAAAAACAAGTTCAGCATAAAATATTGGATATAAGTTTGACTTTAAGTATATATATTTAGCAAATAATTGTTACAATCCTTATTTTTAGACAGTGAATGTTAATGTAATAAATCTTAAAATTGCTTTGTAAGACGCCATCTACTCCATTCTATGGGTAAAGTCATTTTATCGAACGAAAATTGATTGACTCTCAAGGTGTAACGTAAAGAAGTCGCTAGATGGCATAAATACGGCTAGGTAAGAAATCGATCGTAGGTGATTTTGAATGGACTTGACTGGAATATGATAATTTTATTCATTATCGTTTATTTTATTTATTTAATAAATTTGCAATTTTTTTTAACTGTTTATTTTAACAGTTAAAAGATATGTTAACCATCTTTATTTAAATACTTCCGGCCGAGACAAATACAGTAGTAGGAGCGGTAAGGCAATTTCTTCCCAGGCGCGTAACCCAATAGTATATGATTTAGAACCTAATCATCATAACTTTACGAACTATTTTTATGACATCGTTACGTTACAAAGTTATTTCATCAACTTTAATCATAGATGTACGAATTTAAAGTTTAACTTATGTTGCCTAATAATGATAAATTTCAAATCTGATTGTTTTTTAAAGTCTAAAATCGAGTGCATTTTATAACATTATTTTATATAGAATTTTCAATTTATTTTTAGTTCTAACAGATCTGCCAGAATAAATGTAGTGGAAGGAGAAAGTTGCATTTTTTATCCTTTTAAATGCAATTTGTGATGTAAATAAATAATAAAGACACTGTAAATACCTACTATTTTATATTATATATTTTATTGAACTATTTTAATTGAGTATCTAGTGTTGTAAATAAATAACTAGTTCAAAACTTTAAAATAATAAAGTTAAAACTACAACTAAGTATATCTGCATTATATCCAAGAAGATAACATAATATAAATTTTCTATAATATATCTATAATACTGATTCGCATCGAATAGGTAAGAGTAACTATAAAATCCTTGTATCAGATTTCAACAGCGTATCGGAGTAGAAAATATAAACAAGTGTACGCAGAATATATAGATATTGAAATATATAGTTTTGATATCAGATATTGAAACTCGAAATCTGATTTAGATACGATTCTCAGAAAACGCGATACGACCCAGGCTTAGTATGAGCTGTCAGGTCATGTCAGGTCGTCTATTGTCCGTTCATCTTAACTTGAT